AGTAGGAGGTGGGCACTCTCTCACCCAAGACAGATATCTAACCATTAATGTGTCAGTGATCTAGCTTTTTTTTCTTTTTCCCAATTATGTTCTCCCACTTTTGCCAGATCTGTTCCTGTAGAAGAATTCTCATCAGTTTCCCAGTCTTGCTTCCAGCCCTGCATGCCCGGCCCCAAAAGCAAACTGGTCAGAAATGAAATGTTTCTAACCAGCCACTCACCCAAATTACAACCGTCATGGATGCCCTGGTGGTTCTGACAAAGTAGCATGCATTTTTAGACACAGTTTTGCCCTCTAGGAGCATATTTTGACCAGTGATGGCAACCTGGCTAATGGCAGCTCTCCTTCAAGGGCTCAATCCTGCAGGAATCACTTCTAGCCACATGGGGTCAGAGATTCAGAGGCACGGGGACCTGCCTAAAGCCACACAGCTCATTGGTACAGAAGCTGGAGTCTCAACCCTGATGTTTAAGGCCTGTATTACTTCTACACTGCAGCAGCTTTAACCATATCTCATGCTCAGAGAAAAACTTTCCAGAAAGTCCTGCTCTCTTGGTGCTGGCTGGTTCTGAGAGGCTGTTGTCTACACCTGGGCTGTGAAATGTGGAGGTGAGCTCTGTGCGCGCACCTCCTCTCTCTGGGCACCCCGTAACCCACGGCTTGCTTCTCATCTGGGGTACCGTATGGGGTGATGACACGTGACAGTCTTCAGTTCATCTAACTGGTTGCTGAGGTCAAGGGCCCCCAGTGACTGGGAACAGCCACTGGTTTGTTTGATCAATTTGTCCCGGAAGGCCTTGAGGAGTGTCTGTGTTTGCCCATGGGGCCATGTCCACCCTGGTGGGAACAGCATGGCCTGCGTCCTGCTAGTCTTCTTCCCTTTTGGTGGCTTTGGACGCCAGTCGGTCACTCTCTCCTTGGAAACTCTCGGCTTCCAGAGCACACCTGCTGGCTCCTCCTGTCCCCCAGCCCGGGCCCAGCCCTCACACGTGGGTCCTCCTCTGGCCTTGTCCTTGCGTCTTCTTGTTCCAGAGGTCACAAAATGGCGGCCTGGCGGCCTCTTGAGACCCACCAGCGGGTTTTGTTTGGTCCTCACAGTGTATTTTTTGTTTGTTTTAATTTGAATGCCATGAGGTGGGGCAAGCACTCCCCAAGTTCGCCACAGTCCCCGTCAGTCCCTGTCATCTTACACCCATCCGTGTCACGCATTTCCATCACCTGCCTGGCCCCTGGAGCCATCTGAGTTTTTGAGAACCCCTGCAACACACGCCGCGGGGGAGACCTCGCCCACTTTCCCTCCGACCTCTCGTCCACACCAGAGTCGCTGAGGGGGCTCGTGTTTGATGCTGAAGCCCAGCCTCCCTCCCTCCCCCACTGGAGTATTCGCTTCGACGGTTCTAGAAGACTCTAGGGCTGGGATCGTAAACTCAAATGCCTGCAGGAGCCAGGTGGGCCACATAAATGAGTGAACTCGCCAGGTATAAGAAAAGTCGACGGCCAGAAATATAATCAAATGGAATCTTTACTGAACGCTGGTGAATGCATGGAACATAATACAAACAGGTATGGAACTGGAGTTTATCTTTTAAATCCAAATTGAAAAAATACAAATTGAAAAATAGAAATATTTAATTACTAAATTTTTTTTTTCTCTTTTGTAATTCTTCTGCTCCCTGGACTACGAAGCCAGGGGGCGGGCCTCATCCATGCCACCCCCAAGATGTCAAGGGCGGGACTGGTGGCTGAGAACTCGACCTGGACTCCTGAAGCTGGGAGCGGCATTGAACTTGATTCAGTTTTTTAACGGAAAACGGCTGTTCACAAGCGTGGGTGCTTCTGAACACCAAGATTCAGGACGACTACTGGAGAGCGGTGAGGGGCTGTCATCTTCTGAGGGAACCCACTGAGCGACCAGCAGCCCCCTGCCCTGGAGCTCAGCAGCTAGTATTTGCGGTTTGCGTTCACACGATCAACAGTAACCAAGAAAAGCAAATGGGACAGTGTTAGTTCATTCTCATCAAGTCTGGAGGCTGGGCGCCTTGGGGCAGTTTGGTCTCTAGCCCCACAAGTTGAATGAACGCTGTCCAGGCCATGCCTTTCCTCTCTGGAAACCAACTGCAGCCAACAGAAGGGAGTAAGAATCCTCCCTGCCAACAGCTTCCCCATGTCTGCCTGGACTGGATGAACACGATCATACATTCAAGTAGCTGTTTGTGAATGTCCTTGGGAGAAAAAGAGTGTTCAGATGGGTAGGAACTTTGACCCAAAGTCTCTGACTGACCTTCTCAGGAGAACCGAGGTTTGGGTTCTGGCTCACCTGAAATGAGCCAAGTTGATGGACTGCAACAGTTCAGACTGTTTCCCCATGTCACATGATGACAAGGTCGCAGAGCTTCTATAAAAGACACTGGGTCAAGTTCGTCAGCAGCCTGCCCGTGGTTAAGGTACAAAAAGCCTGTCACGGGTGCCATGTCACGTGTCCCACCCCACTGACCTTTCACAGCAAGGTTGGTGCCTGGTAACTGATGCGATGACCTGCCTTGAGTCTCTGCCAATGACACCACCTCGGATAGAGGCGACCTGCCTGCATCCCCCGTGACACAGATGGTTTGATCACCACCATGGTCTGTAGCTGTGCTTAGGTGTTTAGACCAGCCTTCGTGAAAGATGTGTTTCTCTTGACACACAGAAAACAAGTCACTTCCCAGGGTTGGGCCTGCCTTGGCACCATGTCACAGCTTTCTTCGGTCACATCGAGATTCTCCACGCCACAAATAAATAAAGCTAACTGGGTGGTGATAGTTCATGAGCAGCGATAGTAAAGGCCACGACTGATCTGACTCGGTCGAGCAACTGGACTTGTCAATCTTCAGATTTCTCTTCCCCTCCCACGAGACGCGGATGCCTGCTAGACTCAGACGACGGTCCAAGCAGACTGGGGTTTCTGTTTGGGGGGCGTCTCTTTGGCTCCCTTATAAACTGGATGTCCGTGGGCTGGAACGCCCGGGTAATTTGTGCCACGTGACTCCGGACCCTCGAGTGGCAACCATGCCGCTGCTCCTGCCGGCCTTCCAAAAGCGGCCCTACTGACACTTGAGGCCCTTCTTCAGCTCGCTGAGAAGCGCATCCCGCGTCTGCTCCGTGTACTGGTCGAAACTCTTACTGTGCTTTGATTCATAGTGACGCTTCAGGTTGTATTCTTTCAACACAGACACGATTTTTTTGCATATTAAGCACGTAGGCATGCTCTTCACCTCCACAAAGAAATAGGCTCGCTCCCATTTCTCTCGAAACACGTGGCCCTCTCGTTCTCTCTTTCGTTTTGCCACTTTTGGTAGAGACATGGGTACAAGAAAGATTTCACTGTCTCCGAATACTACCCCGGGGACACCAACCGTGCCAGCCCCATGCCGAAGGAGACAGCCTCCTGCCTCGTGGTGGGGGAGTCAGGAGGGAGTGGTGGGGACTGTGGCGAACCAGAAAGCACACGCCCCGTGGAGAGGGACGGCTCCAGCCCATTGTTTGCTGGGCGGGAGGGTGGACCCAGGGGAGCCAGATCTTCTGACTTGTCAAGAGAAGATGAGACTGCTGATTTTGTGTGTGTATGTGTGGGTGTGTGGGTGTTTGAGCAAGAGACTCATCCTGATTTTTACAACTAACTCATTAGGGAAAAAATGCCACATAGCCTAACACAGGGAAGGCCAAACAAAACTCATCTGTAGAGTGGCCCAGGGGCCACCAGATTGCAACCTCTCTCCTGGGACAGGGGCCTGGGCATCTGATGCTAACAGGCATCTCAAGCAATGCAGATGCTGGTGGTCCACCTCTGGACCACATTCTGAGCATCACTGCTCCGGAGTTGGTCTGACAACAGACAACTAAGTCTCTGCCCATAGGCCAGAGCAGCTGCCCCTTGGATGTCTCCCTAAGGACAGCCTCAGGCCCCTTGCCTCATTGCACCCCAAACCTTTACCTCCTCCTTACAGCCCCGCCGGGTCTCCCATCACCAGGATGGCCCCGCTGTCCACTCTGTCCAAAGCCCTGGAAGCCTGGTCTCTGCCTGCTCTCTCCACACGAGACCTCTCCTGTTACTGCGTCTTCAACCACCAAGTACACAGGCTGCCCCTAAGCACACTCCCCAGGCTCCCGGCGTGGCCCCGGTCCCTCGGATGTCCCGGACCATCAGCGATCACCACTGGCTCCTTCTCCCGGCTCCCGCCTCAGGGAGGCCCACCGTCTACCAGCACCCAGGCCAGGTCCTGGGGACCACCCTGGACCCCACCCTATACCCGCAACTTTTTCCACATGGGCACACCAGTTTCTGGCCTCAGCCCTCCTGCCCCCCAACTCCAGCCCCTCCTCTGGCCTCTCCCTCCCTAGGGACACGACCCGCGGCTCCTCCCCGCCTCCTATCTTGTCCCATCACCTCCCGCAGCCCCCAGGGGGTTGACACCCCACTGACCTGGCCCTGGCCCCCTGGCCTGGCCTGGCCTGCTGCAGCCCTGCCGCGTCCTGCGGACAAGCCTCCGCCTGCTCAGTTTGGAATGAGCTCCCTCCCCGTCTGACACCTGCCCGCCTCTCCAGGCCTGCCTTCCCCCACAAAGGCTCGTGCTCCCAGAGGCCTTGACTGACTTGTCCTCTGACCATTCCAGGCTTCCTCCTGCCCCACACGTTCCTTTCTGTCATCTCCGCACCTAGACTGTCACCGCCTTCCTTCACGGCCTCGCTGACTGCCACTAACAGGCCTCCTCTGGGCCCCCTGGTACCCTCTCTACCTCCATGGGCGCTCGTGGTCCTAGGACCTCTGCCTACAGCCTCCTCACCTCCCCGGAGCCAGGCTGCACCAGAGGGCCTGACTTACCACCGAGGCCCCGGGCCTCCCCGGCCTCACCAGCCGGGGACCTCGGGGGCATCTGCTGAAGCAAGAATAAGGGCAGAGGTGTCTCCCCCCATCTCCTCCTGCCCAGTCCTGGGGGATGTCAGTGACGGGAGCCGGGGCGTGTGTTAAAAGGAACTTTATTGGGTGTCGGGGTTCAGATGAGGTCCATGAGGATGTCGTCCTCCATGACGCTGGGCTGCAGGCCCGGCTGGGGGACCGGGCCCCGGGGCCCCCCGCTGAGCAGCATCTGACCTGGGGGGCAGTGGGAAGGGACTGCATCTCCCGGTGGTCCCTGGGGCCCTGGAGGGCCCTGGGCCTGAGTCCTCCCTCCACCTCTGGAGGCCCGAGGCACGGGGGGGTCGAGGGAGCCCTAGGGGACCCCAGAGGCGCCTCCTGATCCCACGTAGCCCCGGACCGTCTGCCTCCTGTGAGCCTGTGGGGGCCCGTCCCCAGCACAACTCTCAGGCCCCGAGACTTGCCCAGCAACCCGGGAGGACACGGAGGCGGAGAGCGGTGGGGGGAGGGGGGGGCGGGAGCACGCCTGCTGCCTTGGCTCAGTGCCCTGGGCTGTACCTCCCGGGGGCCCATGGAGCCCCCACGAGCCGCAAGGGCTCCCGCTATTCCCGGGTCCCAGGACTTCACTGCCCAGAAGTCACAGGACACCGGGACACAGCCCAGGCCGCAGCCGCCCCCGAACCTCTTACCTGGCAGCGGAGCCCGCGGGGGGAGCTGAGAAGGCCAGGACTGGGCCGGTGGCGGGTGAAGCAGAGGGGGCCCCAGCTGGGGCTGCCCCAGGCCCTGGTGCGGCGGGGGCAGCAGCGCAGGGGCCCCTGGCGGCTGGAGGTGGTGGAGGGAGGCCTGAGGGGGGGGCACCCCAGTCTGGGGCTGGGGGGAGCAAAGAAAGTGGCTCAAGAGGCCCCGGCGGAGAGCGCCCACCCGCCCCACTCCCTGGTGCGGCCTCTGGTCTCCCTTCAGAGGAATCTCAGCAGAAGCCCACGTAGGACGGGTGGGGCAGGGCTGGGCCGACCTCCAGGCACCCGCTCCCATCAAACCAACCTCCCGCCTCCATGAGGAAAGGAATCCAACTGTCAAGCCCAGGACCCCCAGCTCCCATATGACCCCCTCCCTGAATCTCACCGGGGGCGGGTTGAGGAGGAGGCTCCGCAGCTGGGGGTTGGCCCCGGGGTTCTGGGGCCGGAGGAGGGGTCCGGGAGGGGGCGGGCCGGGGGCTGCTCCAGGAGGGCCTTGTGGGGCACCTGGAGGGGCCGGGGCAGCACCCTGGGGCTGGGGCTGCCCAGTGGCCGCAGAGGTCCCCACGGTACCCTGAGGCTGGGGCTGCGGCGGGCGGAGCTGGAGCTGATGGGAAGAACAGGGGTGAGGGACGGAGCCCCCAGACCTCTCCATCTCTTCGGCGAGGTCAGAATCACGGTGTCCTCTGCACACCCCCCCACCGCGGCCCTGTCCTCACCAGGTTCTGCGAGGGTCTTGCCTGGTCCTCCAGAATGGGACCGAGCCCAGGGGGTGCCTGCTGGGCCCCCATCTGTGTGGGGAGAGAGGGAGCAGGTCAGTGGCTGGGAGGGCATCCCGGTGCCGGGGAGGGTCTGTGCCCTGAATGGGACCCTGTCAGGAGCCGGGAACGTTTTCCTGGGCTGGGGGCGGGGGGGAGGAGGGGGCGGTGTCTAGGATGTAAATTTTATGCCCCTCAAGAGGGAACTGTGTCTTAAGAGATTCAACAAGAACACTCCTTATAAAGGAGACAGGCTGCAGGGAAACACGGGCTGAGACTGAACTTGGCGGAGGACGTGCCCAGCACCAGAGCCCCGGGAGGGCCCGGAGGTCCTGCCGTGAGAGTGGGGGCTCAGGGGGGCAGCACAGGCACCGGGGCGGGGGAGCCGCGATGTCGCTCACCCCACGCTGCTGCTCCAGCTTCTGCTGCTGCACCTGCTTGTGGTTGGTGATGACCTGCCGGATGCCATTGACGAAGCCGCTTTGGTCATAGGGGATGAGGCCCATGAAGATCTTCTTCTTGGACGAGTAGAGGAGCATGAGCACGCGCACCTCGCACGGGGCCGTATGGGGGAAGTGCACGCAGCCCGCCTGCGGGAGGGGATCAAACCGTCACACCCTGCAGGAGGCGGCACCCCACCTCTCTGGATTTTAGAAGGTTCTAGAAGCCCCACAGGCCAGGAGCAGCCAGCTTTCTGCTCTGAAAGGTGGCGGAGACTCCAAGTTTGGCTTGAGGCTGCTCCAGAGAACTGGGTGCCTGAAGGAACAGGGTGCAGCTGGGACCCCTGCTAATGGCTGGGTGGAGAGCAAAGGAAGCCCCCTCCAATCTTGCCCCCCCTCAGAGGGCTCGCAGCTGAGAGGGAGGGAACTCTACACAGAGCTGACACGGGAAGCATGTGCTCAGTGGTGGTGGCAGACACCCTGACTGACCAGGAGTCCGAGAGGCCCCGGGGCGCCGCAGCCCCTCCACCTCAGCGTCTGCAGGGAGACTTGCGGGAGGCGGCGCTCACACCTCAAGGGATGGACCTGGGTATCACACCCGCTGTCCTGCGCGTGGCTGGCTACACAGGAAGTGCCCAGGGAATGCTAGTGAACGTGAAGCAAGGCCGTAACACGCGAGGCTTCTGGGAGAGGGCTCTTAGCGGAGGAGGCGCTGATGAGCTTAGGGAACTAGTGGAAGGAACCTCGGCCAAGCCAGTCTCACTTTCTCAGGCAAGGTAGACCCTGCTAGTTGCTTAACATCTGCCCCTCTCCCTGTCTGGAGAACCCCGATTGTTTGGGTAGCAAGCCGTCTAGGCCCCAGTGCCCTCATTGGTGCCTGCTCCCCCGCGGTCTCCTCTGTCTCTACGGGTGGCCCAGGGGCCCGGGTCTAGCCCAAGACGTGAAGGGAAGCCTGCTTGTGTATGTGTGGTAACGTGCTTTCCTAAAGAAGCGGAAATACAGGCTGATAACACACCTCCTTCTTGCTCTCCTACGTTAAGTCAGACAGGATTCCTCGAGCTTCAGAAACCATCTCACAGCCACGAGAGAGAAACAAGGAGAGCCCCAGAGATCCCGGCCCTGATGAAAAGGGGCTACAGACCTAACCCTGAGGGTGCCCTCCTCTGGAAGTCCTGATGCACGTCACAAGTGAACACCTGCTTGTACCAGGCTCTCAGAACCCAGATGCCACGCGTGAGGGAGCCCGAGCCACACAAGGAGGCCACATGGAGGCACTCGGATGACCAGGTGCAGCTGAACCCCAGCTGATGGGCAGCACCGTGAGAGGGGGCCACCTTGACCTCCAGCCCAGATGAGCTTTCAGGTGAGCACAGTCTTAGCTGCTATCTGATGGCAATCCCATCAAAGACCCCAAGCAGGACTAGCCCAGCTGAGCCCAGCAGACCCACACAAGACTGCGAGAAATGATAAACTGCTAGCACCTATCTGTTCTATCACCCCAAGCACCTATCTGTTCTAAAACCTCTGCCGGTTGGGTGTGCTGTGACTTGCAGTTGGAGGCATTCTTAACTCTCAGGATTGCCTTCTTTCGAGAACTTTCCTGAAGGATCCATGAGGTAACCTACGAGGAGTCCTCTCTCGTGGAAAGCTGGGTTCACAGAATGGACTCAGTAACTGGTCCTGCTCCTATTTCAAGACCCTCCCTTAGTGCTATGAGCTGAACGGTGTCCTCAAAAACACATGTTGAAGTTCCAGACCGTGGCACCTGGGAATGTGACCTTATTGAAAACAGGGTGTTTGCGGAGTTAACAAGTTAGGATCAGGCCATTCGAGTGGGCCCCAGTCCAAATGACAGGTGTCCTCATAAGCAGATACACACCAGAAAGAGACCACCACGTGAAGACACACAGTGAGGACAGCCATGAGACGATGAGAACAGGAGACTGGACTCAGGCTATCTAAAGCCAAGCCCGCCTGGGGCTACCACCTGCAGGAGGCAAGGAGGGGTCTTCCCCCAGAGCCTTTAGAGCACATGTCCCTGCCTACACCCTGATTTTGATTATACTTCTCTTTTCTAGAAGTGCGGGAGAACACATTTCTGCTGTTCTTGGCCCCAGGAAGCCGTGACACCTCGCAAACCTGTCAGAGCCCAGAGCTTTCTCCGATGGCTCCCGTCACACCCTGCCACAGTTTTAATGTGGAAGAGACCTCAATCCGGCACAGAGTTGAAGAGCCCAGCGTGACAAAGGTGGCCCCACCATCAAAAATGGCTCCCTGGGCCCAGCGGGACAGGAAGCTACCGCCCGGCCACCCGACTCACGAAGCCGTTGCCCATGATGCGGTAGAGGCCTTTGAGAGAGTCCAGGTCCTTGTTGGTGAAGTGGAACTGGACCATCCTCGAGTTCCGGAACAAAGGGCCCAGGGTGGTCTGCGGGAGACACCCAGGTCAGCGGACGTGCGGAGCGGGCCTTGAGGAGGGGAGGACAGAGGCGGGGGGGCAGGCGGTCACCCACTGCCGGCACTCACCAGCAGCTGCTGGGGGATGAGCTGCATGATCAGCTTCTGGGGCCACTGCTCCGTTTTCCTGCGGCAACACCAGAAGACACATCAGGAGTCGCACACCCCAGCTCGCCACCCACCCCGCCCTGGCCACCTACAGGTTCTCGCCGTGATTCACATAGACCTGACAAGGCAGTGACCGGGTCAGCTTGGTGTTGGCGTCCACAGAGGCGGGCTTGGGCTTCTAAGGGGGAAAGAAAGGCGTGTCTCGGTGAGAAGGGCCCTGAGCCTCCATCCCTTTGACCTCTCCACGGTTCCCAGGGAGCCCCCAAAGCTCAGGATAACCCCCCAGTTTAAGGCCCACAAGCCCTAGACCCCTTCATCAGACCACCAACCTCGCAATCCTCCAGCCTTCAAGTTCCACAAATGTGGGCCTCCTCCGCCTGCCCGCAAACTCCACCACCCACTGTCCCCTCCATGCCACAATCTCCTGGGTCCTCCCTGGACCAAGAAGCTGAGACTTCTCTCAACCCTGAACTCTGGGCTACACATCCCAAGCTTCCTCGGGACTATCCTGAGGACGACAAATCCCATGACCCCATGGGCGCCGGTCCAGCCCTGCGACACACCAGGGCTGGTCTGATGGAGCCACTCACCTCCTGCCACTCGAGGACCCCGCTCCAGGCCAGGTGTTTGTTGGAGACTGACTGCTGCCCGCCAAGGGCTGGGGCCCCGAGCTGGGCTGGGGAAGGGCCGCTCACCCCGCCCGGGGCCACAGTGCCCGCCTGCCAGAGGGGGAAAAGAAGGGCCACAGGGCAGGGTCAGACCATCTCCTGAGAGGGGCTGTCCTGAGAGGGCCAGGCCAACAAGCAGAAGAGGACAAAGGTCCCTTCCTGTGTACCCCCAGGCCCAGAACACCGAGCCACACCTGGGACCACAGATACTCTAACCCTGTAGAACTCAGGCTCTCTTGAGAACCCTGGACTCCTAGGACCCTTTGGGCTCCTCAGAACAGTCTTCACCCGCCCAGAGTACCAACCCCATGATTCTACCCCCAGACCCATTAGTCTCAGCCTCGCCTGTAGCCCAGGCTCTGTGAGCTCCCGAGGACCTCAAACAACAAGACCCACGTGCCCTCAGGCCCTCTTCAGGAAGGCCGACCTCTCCACCCCTGCACTGTTGGCAGCCAGGAGGCAGGCACCTACCATGGATGGTGCCCCGGGCTGTGCAGGGGGGGCCAGGCCCGGGCCTGGGGCCACGGTGGAGACCAGGCTGGGCTGGGAAGCGGGAGGTGGCTTGGGGGCACCAGGGGGCCCTGGGGGCAGCTGGGTGGCCTGGGTCTGGCTGTAGGGGGGACCCACTCCTGGAGTGGCTTGCTGAAGAGGGTTGATGGGCGAGACTGTGGGAGAGACCAAGGGAAGCAATGTGGGCGGGGGTGCGGAGACCTGGCTGCCCAAGCCCACAGCCCCGCCAGTACTCACAGCGAGGGCCCAGCCCCGCCTTCTGGTTCTTGGCCGCCTCCACGGCGTTCTGGGCAGCCACCTGAGCTGCACTCAGGTTCCCGGGGACCTGATGACAGAGGGGAGGGCCTGGTGAGGACCACCCTGCCCAGCGCCAACATCCTAAGAGGACGTGACTCCTGGCCTGAAGAGTCCCCCCTGCAGGTGTCTCAGGGGAGACCCCCTAACCCCCAAGGCTCAACAATTCCAACCAGGTCTCTCCCGAGGGGCCAGGGTTTCCGCCAAGCCCTAGGAGCACATCCCTCCCCTGGCAACGTCCATACCTGGTACTGCTGGGGGACCGGTGGCAGAGGCTGCTGGGGGGCTGTTGAGAGTGTGGCGCCTGCGGGTGCAGCTGGAGGGAGGGGCACAGGCTGCTTGGGCTGGAGGGGGCCTGGGGCTGAGCCACCCCCGACTGAGTGCCGAGGATGATCAGGCGAGCACATTAAGAAGGGGATTGAGAGACACGAAGCACATCCGAGTGAGAGGGAGCCGGGGAGGACACCCCCCAACCCTGTGCCCCCAGCAGCCCCCAGGCTCACCCGGCAGCACGAGCCCCCGCACCAGCACCATGTGCCGTGGGTCCTGGCTCACGTCTGCTGGCGGTTGCAGGGGCTCCAGCATGGCTGGAGGAGCTGCCTTCTCAAACAGCAGCCTCAGGGCAGGCAGCTTCCGGGGGGACACGATGGAGAAGTAGATTCCTCGCTGCACAAGAAGGGACAAGCAGTCAGGACGAAGCCACAGGGCCAAGTCCCCGCCAGGCTCTGGGACAGGAGACCCAAGACCTAGACTAGCTGCCCTGGGCGATTCTGGGTTGTAGCTCTCCCCACAGAGCCAGGAGGGCTGGCGAAGGCGTCTGTGCCCATCCTGAGACCCAGGCCAGCGGCCCCCAGCCCTCCTCCCTCCGATCCAGGAGTCGTCACCTCTCCAATCTTCTGCACCAGAGTCTCCGTCGTGCACCCCGAGTACGTGGTGCTCTCGACAGCAGGCAGCAGGTACGGGGGCGAGTTGCAGATAAGGAGGCAGACTCGGTGTGTCTGGCCACTACCAGGGACAAGGAAAGGTGAGGAGAGGATGGCTGCAGGGACCCCGAATAAAGACCCGAGCCAGCAGCAGCAGTGACCAAGTCCTCCACCCCCCCAGGAAGTCCAGAGTGGGGACCCATTTCCCAGCTGAGAACGCTGAGGCCCAGAGAGCCTCCTGAGTTGCTGGAAGTCACCCAGCCACAGGGAAGGCAGGAGGCACACTCCGAGCCAGCTCCCCTTTCAGATGAGGATTCCGAGACAGGGAGTGGGCCAGGGGAAACCTCCTGCCTCTGGCTCCCAATGCCCGGCACAGACAGCCCACCCAACGCCCCACAGGGAGGCCCGGGGTGGAGCCTGTGACCCACCAAGCAGGCTACGGGCCAGGTGGACAGATGGGCGTGGGCCCCGCACTGGGCACACTCACATCTGCTCCCGCATCTTCTTGAAGTCATCGAACAGCTGCAGGGCCGTGCTGAGGCCTTCAGCGATGAGGCTGCAGCTCTCGCCACCCCCACCCATGAACCTGCAGGGGGCACGTGGTCAGCCACTGGGGTGCCCAGGGCCGCCACCCCCCAGTCCCCAGGCCACCCGGGAGGGGCCCACACTTGGGCCGACCCTCTCCACAGTCTGTGCCCCTCAGGATGGGGACACTCGGAGTGTCCCTCCCTATCCCCAGTGCTGGCACAAGGACAGGGGATGTTCATCACTTCCTGTGAGGGGGTCCCTCTGGCAAGAGGCCCCATCAGAGGACAGAACAGAGTAAGGACCCAGGACGCTAAACCCAGGAGCCTACGTTGTCACCCAGTCCCCACGTGCCTGCCCCATGCTGGGCCGTCTGCATGGCCTTCCCCTACCTTCCCAGCCTGCTGTGGGGCCTCCTCTGCCCTCCCACCTTTAAGGGTAGAACTGCATCCCTCAAAAAGGTATGCTGAAGTCCTGACCCCCCACTACCACAGGATGCAACCGGATTTGGAAACAGGGTCTTTACAGAGGTGAACAGGCCATGATGAGGTCGGAAGGGTGGCCTGAACCCAATATGACCAGTGTTCTTATAAGGGGGACGGGGAAGCAGAGACACGCTCAGAGGAAAGCGAAGATGGATGTGATGAGAGAGGGGGCGGGACGCCACATGGCCATCAGAGGGACACTGCACAGGCCAAGGAACGTCTGGGGGGACGGGAAACTGGAAGAGGCAAGGAAGGACGACCCTCCCCTACATGTTCCAGAGGAAGCATGGCACTCCCCCCACCCCACCCCCGCTGTCATCTCACACTCCTGGGCCCAGAACTGAGAGATGGTAATTTGCTGTGGTTATAAACCACCTTGTTTCCAGTACTTTGTCCCAGCGGCCCCAGGAAATATGACACAAAGACTTGGTCGCTCCTCCACCTGATCTACAGAGGGGTCACCGGGGTCCGTCCCTGTGGGGTGGGTGGCAGGCCTCTGCTGGACGGCAGCTGCTACCGCCATGACTCTCTGGGTCACGTGATGGCAAGGCTGACCCTCTGCTGCGGGGGGACATCTGGGCAGACTGGGTCCTGTGGCTCTGCACCATGGCCCCTGTGTCTGTGTCTCCCCCACCAGGCATGGATGAGGTCTGGACTGTTCTTGTCCCCAGCCACACACACCCCGCCCCCCAGTATGGCACAGGGGAGGACTTGGAACTGTGTGTTACATAAACAAATGGCTTCAAGTCCAGCCTTGGTCATCAAGAACAGAGCCAAGCCCGCCCCGCCCCTGCCCACCTCGCTCCATCACCCCCTGGGTGCGTCTGAGAAGGTCTTGGATGCCTCTGGAGTCTGTCATCCACCATACACCCCAGTCTCTGCCTGTGCTGTCCCCACAAAGACCACACACCGCCTCCCACTCTGGCCCAGGTGGAAACCCTGCACATCTATCCCGACTCCCATGTCATCCTCCTCTAGGAAGCCTTCCCCACCTGCCACGTGAATTTAGAGCCCACCCTCGATCACAGCACATGTCCCCCAATACTGTGACTATCAAGCTTCCTCCTGCAGCCTACCTCCCCCTAAGAAAGCGCAGCCCTCTGTGAGACCTGAGCCAGCTCCGAGATGTGCCTGAGGACACACGGGCTCCAGGAAGTGCCTCCTGAGTAAGTGAGCCACCAAAGCGTGAGCCCCCTGTGCCCTACCTGAATTCTTCCCCAGTGCAGACTGGTGCTCTGCTCCCGCTCAGCCCACAGCGCTCCTCCTCCCCAGCACCTACTCCCCAGATCTCCTCCTCCTCCTCACCATCGAGACTCTGGTGTGCACAGGAACTGAACGCCACAGAGCTGGGGCAGAGGCCGCTGAACCAACCAACCCTGGATCCACCCTACTGCCGACTGCCTGTGCTGGAAGAAACCAAGCCATCTTCCTGGCCGGGCTAAGGGTAGGGGTGAGGGGTAGGGGGAGAGACAGGAAGCAGCTGCCGCAGGCATGTGGGGTCTTCTCTTAGAGGGACAAAATGTTCCAGAACTAAACAGAGAAGATGGCTGCATATTTTAAATGTACTAAATACCACTGACTTGTCCACTTGAAAATGACTGCTTGTGCTATGGGAATTTCACCTCAATTTCTAAAAAAAAAATAATAATTTGAAGGAAAGTGAGATTGACTGACTACTCTGAGACGCTAGAGTTTGCTTTTTTTTTCCCCCTTAATGAATATTAAACATAAGCCATCTGTTACCAGCTCAGAGAAAGACAGAACAAATATTTTGTCTAAGAAAAACTTAAAACTGGGGAGCAGGAAAAAAAAATATATGGCCAGTTGGTAAGTAGGTTTTTAAATACCAAAAAATTTCAAATAAATCCCTCAGATTAGAAATAGAAAGTGAAAGTGAAAAATGAAAGTGTCCTGGGTGACACAGGTGGGCTCTGACCCACTGCTTCCTTATCCTCACTCCCGGCTCCAATTGTTCCTCCTGAGGTTATATCCCTGAGTCCTTGTCATCCACTTTCACAGCCTAAGAAGCCCCTCCCCTGGAGCCCCCCAGAGGGACTAGTCAAAATGAATGAATGTGAACCGCAGCCAGCTCTGACCAATGACTGTCGCAGCCTGTCACCCCATGGAGACACTAGCTCCAGAGGGCGAGCACCCTGCTTGCCTCCTGCCCCCTCAGTACCTGAAACAATTTGCCCCACAAATTGTCTGTTGAATGAATGAACGCACAAACCAGTGAACGAATGAAGGCACAAACGCAATGTCACAAAACTATAGGGAAGACACCTGGGCTGTCCCTTCTGATGCTGTATCACTTGCTGTAGGGGGCGGGGGAATCGCCTCACTCGTCAGACAGGAAATGTAACATCAGAAATGAAACTCCTCAAAGCAAGAACTTTCCAAAACTCACACTGCCTGCCTTGTACCGTAAGGAATGGATGTTCCAGGAGAAGATAAGATTTCTCCACATGAACAATACATGCTGACTTTCTTTGTGATCTCTGTTACAGACCTCCCCAGAAGGTCACAGGAACTGAATTGAGATGGTTACACGGGACCTGATAAAACAGTGATGACTAGGAATATTCAATAATGGCTTAAAATGTTTATTGGCTGATTGGGAGGATTCTGGTGAGCAGGCAGCACACAAAGCTTTCTTTTTTGGTTAAACAGACAGTGTATTCTAAGCTAGTTAAGGGAGAGGGTGGATATGGGACGGAAGTGTTCAGAAAATATTTCCCTCTTATTTTCCTAGTGCCCTTGACATTTTAAACAAGGGGGTTTGACTCTTCCTCCTGACACCCACCAGAAGGTTCACTTTCCTGGTGATTCTCTTCCCTAAAGCTTTCACTCATTTATTTATTCAGCAAAGGTCTCCCAGGCCTCTTGGGTCTCAGGCCCCTGCTGGAGGCAAACAGCAGGAGAAACACCCAAGACCTGGGCATTCACAGTCCAGGGTATGGAGCTGTAACAGGGAAACACCTGGGAGCAACGGGGCAGAGAGAGAAGCTGACGGCTCGCCGGAATCAGGGAAGGACGTTGTGTTGGGTCTTGATGTTTATATAGGCGTTTACCAGGGAGAACTAGAGTATGAAGTACATTCTGGACATTCGTTCATTCACTTGTTCCACAAACCTTTCCTTAGGGCTCTCTCATGCCAGGCCCTGTGCTGGGTGCTAGAGACTTGAGGGACATTAGACTTGGACTTGAACCTCAAGGAGCCCCCATTCCACAGTATTCAAATCTCACCACAATCTATTCCAGAGGTTCTCAACTGGGGTGGATTCTGTCCCCAAAGGGACATCTGACAATGTCTGGACACATCTTTGTTTTTATTGTTTATCACACTGGGGAGGGAGGGGACCACTGGCATTTGCGGGGTAGGGGCCGGAGATGCTACTGAACTCCTTACAACACACAGGAACGCCCTCCACAACATACATACAACAATCATATGGCCCAAAGGGTCAACAGTGCTGAGGGTGAGAAACCCTGCTCTACCTGGACCATGAATTCTAACCACCATGAGAGGGGAACGTGAACGTGCAGTGCCTGGTGTAGCACATGGAGCCTGAAACAAACCAAGCATTCAACAAACATTTGCTGCAGGGGCGAATGAAGATAACAGCAGCCCACAAATCCGTGTTGTTTAATGGACTCTGACCAGACCCTGAGCTGAACACAGTACGAAGATTAGCTTCTGTGACCCTCCCCAGAGTGCCGATGTGGACTACCATTATCCCTCTGCAGACCAAGAAACCAAAACACAAAAGAACAGCAAAAGCTGAGGGAGCAGTTAATTGTGTCAGGCACTGTTTTCAACAGTCATCCACTATTCAATTCCCAAAGTTCCCTACAGTGTCACCAGAACCAGATCTCCGATGAGCGCCATCTCCTGGTATTCATGCCCCCTCCAACACTGAACAGAACCGACCTGTATACGAAACAGGATGTGACACAAATGATGGTGTGTGACTTCTAAGATTCGATTATAAAAAGCTCTATGGCCTCCTTTTGCTCTTTCTGTTGGATTGCTCAGGCTGAAGAAGGCCAGCTGCCATATTGGGAGAACACTCAAGCAGCCCCATGGAGAGATGTCTTAGGAATAACAGCTGGCAAGGAACTGAGGCCTCTAGCCAACAGCCACAGGGTTAGCCGCCCTGGAAATGGATCCTCTGGTCTCAATCAGTCGGATGACTGCAGTCCCAGCTCATTATGACTGAAATCCCACAAGAGACCATGAGAACCATTAAAGCCACCCCTGAATTCCTTACTTAAGGAAACAAGCCACTATATTAGTTTTTTTTCGGCTGTGCCCCTCAGCATGTGGGATCTTAGTTCCTCCACCAAGGATCAGACCCATGTCCCTTGCAGTGGAAGCACAGAGTCCCAACTGCTGGACCGTCAGAGAATTTCCAAGTCACTAAGCTTTAATCTGTTTCTCAACACTGGATAAGTAACAGGATGACTATAAGTACTATTACCGTTCCCCTTTTAGAGATAAGTTCTATTAGACACAGGGGACAGGGACTCGTGGGTCTGGGAGTCCTGTTGTGGCAGAACTGAAAAGTGGCCCCAGGCTGTCTGCACCTGCAGTGTGAAGTATCAAAAGTCACTCCAAAGCAGAGTCTTAGCCCCACCCCTCTTGTACTCAGGTTTCAATGCCCCTAGTAGAAAAACAAAAACTAGAGTAGATAAGAGAAGCAACAGACAGAAAGGGGAAGAACACATGAGGAGTAGGACAGGGGTGCTGGACTTCCCCAGGCCTCCTTGACCAGGAAGTTCTTTCTACTTCCAAGCCAGACAGCAACATCAGCTGAGCATACATAACCGACCACTGAAGTGACCTAGGGACAAAACTACAATCCCCATCACAGCCCTTTTTAGCAACCAATGTGAGGGGCTGGATCCAGCAGCTCAAATCCATGCCACCATTCCTCTGCGGTCCCTCCCAGGTTCCCCCAACCCTTCCCGAAGCCGAGAAAAGAGCTCACTTAATGCCATCGAGCCAGGTGACAAACTCATAGGCGCTGCTGGTGGGAGCGTGACATTGTACGTAGGACTCTGGAGCGCAGTCCACCGTGTTGAACACCACGAGGCTGTACTGGGTGCCCCCATACTGGGAGGGGAGGACAGAAGAACTTTTCATCTGGGACCCAGTTCCTTCCCCCATCGGACCCAGGACCCAAGTCCCTCCCCTCTCTGACGCAGGGGTCCAGACCCCAGCCTCTCCTCCCTCGGACCCGGGGGTCCGGACCCCAGTACTCCCACCTCAGACCCAGGACCCGAGCCCCTCTCCCCTCGGGCCCAGCACCTGAGCCTCCTCCCCTCTCGGACCCAGAAGTCCGGACCTCAGTCCCTCCTCCCTCGGACCCGGGGGTCCGGACCCCAGTACTCCCGCCTCGGACCCAAAACCCGAGCCCTTCCCGCCTTGGACCCAAGACCCGAGCCTCCTCCCCTCTGGGACTCAGAAGTCCGGACCCCAGCCCATCCTCCCTCGGACCCAGGACCCGAGCCTCATTCTCCTGGAAACCAGAATCCAGACCCCAGCCCCTCCCCGCTCGGACCCACGAATCCCGACCCCAGCCCCTCCCCGCTCGGACCCACGAATCCCGACCCCAGCCCCTCGGACCCAGGAGTCCAAACACCAGCCCCTCCCGCCTCTGACCCAGGAGTCCAGGCCCAAGCCCCTCCCACCTCGGGCCCAGGGTCCAGGTACCGCCCCCTCCTCCCGCAGACCCCAGAGTCCGGACTCCCATCTTCCCTCAAACTCGAGAGTTCCAAGACTCACGTCTCCCCCGAAGTCCGTCTCGGCAGGAGGACCGCCATTAAAATACCTGTGAGGGTCGGAAGTGAAAGGTCGGGGTGAGGAGACTGAGGAAAACTAAACTCGGAGGGCGGGGTTGGGGCCGCGGAAACGGCACTCACTCTATGGCCGGGAGCAGGTAGTGCTTGCGGAGCCCTTCGAAGTAGGGCCCCAAGTTGGCCGTGCCCTCAATTACAAACACCACGTCAGCCACGAGGCCCCCGGCGCGGGCCGGGAACCGCGGGCTGAGCGGAAGTGCGCCTGCGCCGCGCGCGCCCCCGCGCAGGACGGCCTCTCGGCGCTGGCGGCGCGCTGGCGGCCATGTTTGTGCGGGGCGCTCACGGCGGGTGGGTTTATCTCCATCCTCCTTCGCACCCAGTGTGTGCAAGACTCAAAAAGTACCTAGAGAACTCCTTCGGGGACCAGAGGTGGAAGTTTGAATTATTGGCAGAACTTTCGAGGGCCTAATATACTAAAAGCGGCGCGTCAGACGCCATTTTTGAGGGGGGCGACCTTTCTGACACTACTTTCAGTGGAAGGGCCAGGAAATCTGGTTGCTATGCAACGCATACGCTGCCCTTGTTTTCCTAAAAAGACAGATTAGGTTTCTAGTTAAGTTCTTTCTGGTTCTTGGGGGATGGGGGTGGGTGGGTCGTGTGAAGGGTCCAATCACACGTCTGAAACGGGGTTACTAGGCAACGCTTTAAGGTGGCAATCAACTCTGAAGGGAGTGCAGCTTGTTTTTCCCCCACTGAAAGAAGCCGAACTCTAACCCAAGTGGAGGTTGCTAAGCAACACCTGATAGTTGTTTTCTGGGAGAAGAGCCAGAAACTGGCCTAGGACATAAATACATTCCAGGTGGATTAAAAATGTAAATATAACAAATGAAACCATAACACTGTATAATCCTGAAGACTGGAAGAAAAAGAGTTTCTTATCATTACAGCAAAGCCAGAGGACGAAAAATATTGAACTGTTTGTCCTCATAAGACTTCATAAACCAAGCTGAAAACGATACCGTTAACTGTGGAAGTCACTGTAACATATGTGTTGACAGAAATTTACTACCCAAATACGTATTACTAATCAATAAAAACAGGAAAACAGAAATACTTTATTTTTTTTAATTGGGGAGGAAACTAAGGTTTTTCCCATACGCAAAAAAATATTAAAAGAAAATCGCTCATATTCACAAGTTAATAAGTTAACACAGGGGCCAATGATATGTCATTTTATCTTTGTCATGTTAATTAATGCTGGAGAAATAAGTCCATGAGGGTGGGAAGGTTTGGGTGAAATGAGCAGGCTCAGACGTGATCTAGTGGAGATGGAAACTAAACAGCTTGCTCCAATACAGTTTGTCAATATATTTCAAGGTAAAAAAGACTGCATTGCTTTGCACTCAGCAGTGTCACCATTTTGTCACGTACTTTATTGATCCCTTTTATTTTCTTTGCTGAACGCTTGTGAAGCAAATCCCAACATTGTATCATTTTACCTCTACCTGCTAGATAGGCATCTCCAAAAAGTTGCAGAAAACCACTATGCCATTAACACCTCTAACAAAATTCTTATTTCTTGGTATTGTCCAACACTTAAATCCATAATCAAAATTCCCTAGTTCTCACAAAATGTCTTCCTACAGTTGTTTTATTTGCATCAAGATCCAACAATGACCGAACCTGTGTTTAGACATCTTAAAATTCCTTTAAATCTAAAGCAGATTTCTTCTTTTGTATCCTAGTGTAATTAAATTTTAATAAAATCATAAGGAAGATAAAAGTAAACTGGAGAAAAGCAAAGTGATCAACAGGTATGGAGCTTGAAATGGTACCTAAAATTCCCTCCTAACCATAAGGAAACTTTCCTTTAGATAAGCTGAATGCAAAATTGGTTGTGTTAACTGACTTTTAACCGTTACCATTGTTACCATTAATGGATTACAAATAGTAAAACAAACAATGAGATATTTTAGCTTGGACTTCAGCTTCTGGCATTGATAATTAGATGATATGACATTGTTTTTGCGACATTGGTGGTTTCATAAGAGGTATGGGTAGTCTTAAGGATCTTACCTCCCCCAGAATGGAAACAGAAATTGACAACAAAAAAAGATAGGGTTGGAAAAGAAATTCCAGAGGTGCTCATTGGCATTACCAAGAACCTTATGGCAGCTGTGATGTGAAAAACTTGTGTAGTTCCTCAGCTAAGCAATGGCCTTCCACAGCAGCTGATCTAATCCTGGGCTAGCCTTCGAGCCTCTCACACAGAATGGAGTAAATCAGAAAGAGAAAAGCAGGTATATTAATGCAAATATATGGAATCTAGAAAAATGGTACTGATGAATCTAGTACAGGGACTTGTGGACACAGTAGGGGAAGGTGAGGGTGGGATGAATTGAGAAAGTAGCATTGACATATATACACAGTCATGTGTAAAATAGTGGGAAGTTGCTAAACACCACGGGGACCCCAGCCTGACACTCTGTGAACTTGAGGGTGAATCCTCCCTAGAGGACTCTGATCAGTAGCACAAAGACCACAGCTGCAGAGACAGGATTGAAATTAGAACTCACAGAAACAAAAATTAACAGGATGCAGCCCCACCCCCACCCCCAGGATTGGGGTACAGGAATTGTCAGGTTCAGAAGGTAACACAGTATGCAAAATAATAGAAATAAAGGACACTACTTAAGTTACCTTGGGCTGTGTAACAAATTACCTCAAAACTTAGTGGCATGAAACAACAACATTGTTACTTTGAAGTTCCTGTAGATCAGGAATTGAGATGTGGCTTAGCTGGGTCCCATGCTCCAGAGTTCCATACCGGCTATAATCAAAGGGGCAGCAAGGGCTATAATCATCTCAAGGCACGACTAGGAAGGACCTGCTCCCATGGTCATTCTTGTCATTGTTGGCAGGGTTCAGTTCCTCCCAGGTTATTGACTAGAGGTTCCATGTGTTACTGACCAGGGTCCTTGGACTTTTTAATCAATAGAGATTGATAAGAGGCCAAATGAGAAATTCAGGCAAGGGTTTATTGGGACCCTCTCACAGACTCTTAGCATGAGGGAGGGAAAAGGAGAACAAGAAACAGGCACCCCTGCTAGCTTGTGAGGGGAAGTAGGCTGGTTCTTTAAATGAGGTGAGGGTGGGGACGGGTTGGGCTGGAAAGGTGGCTTAGGTGGTCTGCCCACCCTTTGGTGGTGCTGTGTGCCAGGCACAGTACCCTCCTTTTGCTCCTGGAGTCTCAGAAGTGGCAACTGGTCTGTGGCCTTTTTGTATCTTATTGAACATAATTATTTTGTCTCAGCAGTAAAAAGGAAAAAAAAAAAAAAAATCTGCTTTCAATGCAGGAACTGCAGGAGACCTAGGTTTGACCCCTGGTGGGGAAGATCTTTTGAAGGAGAGCTTGGCAACTCACTTCGGGATTCTTGCCTGGAGAATCCCATGGACAGAGGAGCCTGGTGGGCTACATACAGTCCATGGGATTGCAAAGAGTCGGGCACAAAGCAACTTTGCACATATGTACATAATTTTCCCCAACTGGGAAAACGTTTTGCATGCAGTTATTTTTAGTCTCATAGTTTCTTTGTATCCTCTTGCTCAAGGAGATGTCTGGCTTAAGTGCAAGCGCTCTAGGAAAGGTTCCCAAGTTTCAGGTCCCAGCCTGACTCACAAGGACCTCTTTTTGGATAAGTCACGACATGGCGTTGGCTGCATCAGAATGAACAAGAGAGGGCAAGAGAGAGAATACAAAGAAGGATGGAAGTTGCCATCTTTATAACCTAATCTCAGAAGTGACATCCTACCACTTTTGCCAAGTTCTTTTTTTATTATTTATTTGGCTCTGCCAGTTGTTAGTTGTGGCACATGAAATCTTCGCTGAGGCCTGTGAACTCTTAGTGACAGGATAAGGGTTCTAGTTCCCTGTGCGTGCCACGTGCATGTTCAGTCACTTTAGTTGTGTCCAACTCTTTGCGACTCCATGGACTGTAGCCCACCAGGCTCCTCCGTCCATGGGATTCTCCAAGCAAGAATACTGAAGTGGGTTGCCATTTCCAGGGTTGAAACCCAGAGCCCCCTGCATGGGGTGTGTGGAATCTTAGCCCTGGACCCCCAGGGAAGTTCCATATCCATGTAATTGTTTGTGTCTCTAATTCCAAAGTCCCAATCTATCACTCCCCTGGCTGTTCATTTTTATCCTTGGTAATATCCTTTATAATAAACCAACAATAGTGAGTAAAATGTTTCCGTGGGTTCTGTGAACCATAAGAGCAAATTATTGAATATGAGAATGAAATGGTGTTCAAGCCCTGTGTCCTTGTCTTTTGAAGTAAAGTGCTGACCCAAAAGTTAATGATTTGGAAATATGAAGATACAGAAACAAAGAATAGCTGTTGAACTGGGGAACTGGTAACAATTTAGACTATAATTCTGCCACACAGCAGAACCAGCGAAATCCCAGTTCTCTGAAAGATATAGATAAAGGCCTGACACACATTCCTAAGTTGTTTTTTACAGGAAGCAGACCCGCTCCAGATGAAAACTGCTGACCACAAAAATGCAGACCCTAGACTGGCTGAAACCAGAAAATTGATGATGCTTGAAACTTCACCTAAATGCCAACCAATCCAAGAATGGTCCACGAGCTGATCAAACCCTGCTTCCTGAACACTGTGACACTCCTCACTGTCCATTCCAGGGTGGGTCACACAGTCTTTAGGACATCAGCCCACTATGGTCCCTTTTTGCCTGGCAAAGAAATAAAAGCTACTCTTCTCTACTTCACCCAAAACTCTTATCTCCGCATTTCTATTCAGCAACGGTGAACAGAGGCCAAGTTAGGGCAATAAGAAGAGGGGGTCATGGGGATCCCTGTTACATGTAGGCCACTCAGACCAAAGTGTGGGTAACCTGGGGACCCACTACTTCTAACTGGTGTGTGAAGTGGCTATAGTATTGTGGATCTGAGACCTTAAGGATGTGAGTGTGTGTGTATGTAACTCTAGGTGGTTGGTGTCAGAATTTAATTGGCTTATAAGACAGTCTGTGTCCACAGAAAACTGGGGAACTGCTTGGTGTGGAAAACCTACACATTTGGTATTAGAAATATTGTGAGTAGAGAAAGAGTTTTCCAGTAGGAAATCCTCTAGGAAGTAGGAAATTTTTCAACTATCCCTGGAAAGTGATCTGAAATGTAAGAAGGAACAGGGAGGACAAAATGAATCATAAACATACAATTACAATTGGCTGAATAAAATAAGAAAAAATATTCAATGAAGACATTTTAAAAAGTCAAATTAGAATGCTAGCAACACTAGTTGCTTAGTCTGGAGGAAGTTTAGTGGAGTTAACTTGTCACATTCTTTGTATTTTTTGAGAGAGGGTTTAAAAATCTTTAACCTTTTGCTGAATTAAATGTGATGGCAAAATTTCAAAAATAATAAAAGAGAATTAATGTATAAATTTGAAGCCAGAAGAAAGAGGACAAATGGACTGAGGAAACAAATCCATTAAAAGAAAGGAGGAAATAAGCATGGAAAAGGCAGGACAACAAGAAATATAGCTATAAATAATATAGAAATAAATAATAAATAATATAGAAATAAAATGATAGAAATAGGTCCCTCTTGCCTCTGAGATAGTCCCCATGCTGTCTATGGAGTGTTCCACTTCTTACCAAAAAAAGTAAAATGATAGAAATAAACCCAAGTATATCAGAACTCTAAATAAATATAAGACTAAAGGAGAAATTCATAGAACTACAAGGAAAAATTGATATATTACTTCATTTGTTATTTTATGCACTTTATTCCTCTTTAAGTTTCATGTAATTTAATGTACAAGTAAATGTCTTATTTCTTATCAGCTATTAGAAATCAAATCCAGAATGCAGGCAAAACATGTTTAAAAGAAATTCTTTCTTAATACAACTATATGTTTTGTAAATGTATTTGCAGAAATGAAGGCAGCTGTTCTGAGAAAAACGATCTGATTAACTGATAACTTAATGAATATTTACTTTATACCTTTAAACACATAGTGATAAGAACCTAACTTACGTCAGTATAGAATGAGCTAAATATATTTTGTTACATCCATGATATAGGTTAAGATAAGGCATTTTAAAAAGACGAAGTATATTTACACAATTTCATGAGAAAAACAAAGTTTGAAAACAACATTAGCACAGTAGTATCTGTGAAAACGTGAATATCCTGTGTTAAACTGTTAACTTTTTATTTCAGGGAAAGGATTTCGGTAGGAGTATTTTCACATTCTGCACTATACACTATCATGTGTAAATTCATTATAAATAATATTATTTTACGATTCTAGAATATAAAGGATTTCATCTTTCTTGTTCTAATAACAAAAACAACCAAGTCATTTGTTGGTTACTAGGCAACTCTTGCCGGACCAAACCATCCTCGAAAGTAAGGGGGGAGTTGGTGTCTTTCTCAATTTTGCTCTAAGGAAGATTGCTCGTGATTCGTCTTGCGGCCATCTTTGAGAGGGGCACAGCTATTTATAGCCTTAGAAGGAAAATAAGACTGGTCGTTGCTAGGAAACCCCAAGGCGCGGTCGGCATCTTTGAGCCCGTAGTGTTTCCTACCATAAAAGAAAAAGCCAAGCTAAAGCGGTTGCTAGGCAACGCTTCGGCATCGTCGCCATCTTTGAGTGTGGTACGGTTGTTTGTCAATTCAGAATGTGAAATACACTCGCCTACGTTGTGGTTACGAGGCAGCGCCTTGGAGTAGTCACTATCTTCAAATTGGGCTCTTCATCCTCTTCTTTAAATAGAGTCAAATCGCTTCAAGTAGCGACCAGTCAGCTTAGCAAATGCAAGGCCGCCATCTTTGTTAGGGGTATTGTGACTTCCGGCTGGGGCGGAAGAGAGCGTAACGGGGCTCGGGGGGAGGTGCTGGAAAAGAGCTTGAGGAGGGGTTTGAGTTGGGATGAGGAAGGCGGGAATCTAGTCGTCTTCCAATCAGCCCCCTATCTCGCCCTCTGGCGGCTCCGGACAGCAGCAGCCCGACTTCGTGTGACTATGGGCGTGCTCCCAGGAGGGCATTGACTCTCCCCACGAGGGGACTGGGTGGCGAGCGTTCCAGATGGGGGAGGAGGGGACCGAGGGCACGGTACATCTTCTGTGCCTCGCGGCATCTAGCGGGGTCCCCCTGTTTTGCAGGAGCAGCCGCGGTGGCGCCCCCGCCCGCCAACAGGTGGGACCCTGGGCGCCTGGATCTCTGAAATAGCAGGGATTTAGAAGGACTCTCGGTCCTCAAGGGAGTAGAGGCTGGAGAAGTTTCAGAGTTGTGTTTAGACCGTCGAAGGTGCAATTGACCAGTAATCCTGGTTCCTTGAAGAGGAGGGGCCAGGGGCTCTAGAGAGAGGAACTGGGTTGGGGACCTGAGTAGTTGGTTCTCAAGGAGGAGGAAACTGGGGGGCTCTTGTCTCAAGTTCCCAATCTTTCCCCAGCTCCCATTCTCTGTCATCGGCTCCCTCAATGGAGTCCACATGTTTGGGCAGAATCTCGAGGTGCAACTGAGCTCTGCGAGGACGGAAGACACAACCGTGGTGTGGAAGAGCTTCCACGACAGGTCTCCAAGAGCAGCTTGGGGGCAGGGCCAGGGGGACAGCCCCTGTTGAAGATGACCCCCAAGCTGTCCAGCTCTCCAGCGCCAGCTGAGACTGGGCTGTGGGATCTTTGACAAGGCATTCAGCCTGATTGCTGAGCTTCTTTGTACGAGAGGCCGGTTGTGCTGGGGCATGGATCCAGGGCAGACCTACTCTCCTCTTTGCCTTGTTTACTTGGCCTGGACTCATCCTTCTCACCTTCCTTTCTCACAGCATCACCCTCATTGTTCTGTCGTCTGAGGAGGGCACCTCGGAGCTGAGGCTGGAGAGACTACTCCAGATGGTGTTTGGGGCCATGGTGAGACTCCCTGACCCTCTTTTTTTAAAAAAATTCTTGTTTGTTTTTGTCCACACCCTGTGGCATGTGGGATCATAGTTCCCAGACCAGGGACTGAACCTGCCCCCTGCTGGGTGGAAATGCAGTGTCTTAACCACTGGACCACTAGGGAAGAGAGAGAAGTCACAGTTGTGTCCGACTCTTTGTGACTCTATGGACTGTAGCCTGCCAGGCTCCTCCATCCATGGGATTCTCCAGGCAAGAATACTGGAGTATTAGGGAAGTCCCTCCTTAACTCTCTTTCCCAACCCCAGGAATCTGAGCTCTCAGCATCCCTCTCCCTCAGACCCAGGAGTCCAGACTCCCAACAGCCTCCTGTAGAACCCAGGAATTCTGGCCCTCAGTCCGACTCCCCCCTCAGACACAGGAGTCTGAGTCCCAACCCCTCCTGTCTTATAACCAATTGTCCAAGGCCCGTACTCTCCTATATGGTTCTTCTAGGTTCTTCTCGTGGGACTTGAAGAGCTATCCAATATCCGCAACGTAGAGAGACTGAAGAAGGAGCTGAGGGTGAGGCTGTAGGACATGAGGATGGGAAGTTAGGATACCTGGTCACGGATATTTGGGAACTATAGTTCCCAGAAACCCCTGGGGCAGCCTTATCCATTGGGCTCCCAAGGCATCTTGGTTGTCTGACATCCCCTAGGAAGGCCCAGTGGGCCAGTTTTCTCGGGGGAGCCAACACATTTGGGTGCCACCCGGGTCTTAGGCTCCTCCATTTTCCCTTCTGCTAGGCCAGTTACCGCCTCATCGACAGCTTCCTGGGGGACTCAGAGCTCATCGGGGACCTGACCCAGTGTGTGGACTGTGTGGTTCCTCCTGAGGGATCCCTGCTGCAGGTACTGGGAATGCCTTGTAAACTTTTAAAACTATCCCTCTGGCCTTGTGTCAGAGGCCAGTGTTCGTCCTCTTATCTTTGGACCATTGCCTCTTCCTATCCTTTTGGCTTCCAGTCCAGCTCCCACTTGACCCCGAAAGGATCTTTCTACACCTAGAGCTGACACTGCCCCTCCCCTGGTCACAGCCCACCCGAGACTTCCATCAGCCCCAGGACAAGGTCCTAGCCCCTTAGTCTCATGTTGAGGACCTGAGGAATCTGATGGCCGCCTGCCTTCTTGCCCTAATCTCTGCTAACTCCTAACTCCACAGTCCACCCTCTCCCAGCTGCCTCATGAGTCTCACAAATCCCTACAACTCCCCAGTTTCTCTGCCCTGGCACATCCTGTTCTTTCTTCCGGAAATCTCTATCTGCTCTTCCTTAAATATTGATCTAATTTCATCTGGCATAGCTGCCTCCCAGCAGTGTGGCTCTGGGCAGCTGACAACCTCTCTGAACTTCAGTAGCTTGTAGATTGCACCCACCTGGCACTTAATAGCACTCAATAAACCATAGCTGCTGCTGTTAAAAGGACGTATCAGACTAGGCAGCGGTCACCCTACCTGTTTAGTTTTACTGTGTGACTTGGGGATGGTAGCTGCATGTGAAGGTGAAGGAACTCAGGCCCAGGGAGGGTGAGACACAGGAGCACGGCCGGAGCACGGCCACCAAGCTAGCTTTGAATTGTACGCCGGTCTCTTCCCCTACTCACCCACCTGGGAAGTCTGTCGCCCCTGCTCATGTTCTGTGACTCGCGGCCGGCCTGCCTCCCTTACCCAGGAAGCCCTCTCTGGGTTCGCTGAGGCGGCGGGCACGGCCTTCGTCAGCCTGGTCGTGTCGGGCCGGGTGGTGGCAGCGACCGAGAGCTGGTGGCGGCTGGGGATGCCGGAGGCCGTCCTGCTCCCCTGGCTGGTGGGGTCCCTGCCGCCGCAGGCGGCTCGCGACTACCCGGTGTACCTGCCGCACGGGAGCCCCGCGGTGAGTGAGTGGGTGGGGTGGGCAGGGGGGAAACGGTGAGGGCAGGGAGGAGCGCGCCAGGGGTGGGACCTGGAGGACCGCCTCTAGGAGACCGGGCTTGCGAAGAGAAGAGGAGCTCCGGCCAGCCCACCCTCCTCGCTGCTGCAGGTTCCGCACCGGCTACTGACCCTGACGCTTCTGCCGGACTTGGAACTGTGTCTGCTCTGCGGCCCGCGGCCTCACCTCAGCCNAGGTGGGCGGGGGCCGGGAGGGGCGGGGGGCTGGGCAGGGGCTCTGCGTTACCGCGCCCCTCTTCCACCTTCAGAACCGTCTCCGGAGCACCGCCGGCGCCTTCTCCGCTCTTTCTACACCCTGGTCACCGCCACTCACTTCCCACCAGGTCAGCGGCGGGCACAGCGACCCCTTTGCACAGGCTGGGGCACTGGGTCCCAGTTCTCACGAGGCGGGAGTAAGAGACGGGGGAGGGGAAAGCAGTAGGAGAAGCGTGGACTGGGCATGGCCGTCTGTGAGCCCTGGGCATGTACACAGAACAGGAGAGAAGAGAGCTGAAGGGAGGGGCGGGGAGGGCCCAGCCTGCAGGCTTCAGAGCCTCCTGGCTGACCCTAAACACCGAGACCTCATCTCCTGCCAGGTGCTGCTTGTGTATTGATTCACTTCTTCCTCGAGCTTCTCTCATAGCTCAGTTGGTAAAGAGTCTGTCCGCGATGCAGGAGACCTGGGTTCGATCCCTGGATTGGGAAGATCCCCTGGACAAGGGAAAGGTTACCCACACCAGTATTCTGGTCTGGAGAATTCCATGGACTATACGGGGTCACAAAGAGCTGGAAAAGACTGAGCAACTTTCACATCATCATTTCCATATTGTAGATGAGCTAACAGGTTTAGCTAAACAGCAGAGCTTGGCTGTGATTCACACAGGCAGCCTGGCTTCCACATCCACACGCTCCTGCTCTGCTGCTGAAAATAATGCTTTGGGTGGAGAAGGGTGGTAGATTCCACAGAACCCAGGTCCAGGAGGAAAAGCTGTCACACAGAACCTGAGGCCCAAAGAAAGGGACCTAGAGTGATACTGCAATCCCAGCAAAGACCCTGATGAGTTTAACAAGATGGTGAAAAGTTCTCCCTGGAGGAGTAAAGGACTGCCCCTTCCTAGCCGTGCGACTCCACCTCCCGCACCTGCTTCCCAAGTGGGGTGGGGTCCTCTGGAGGCCAGTGCCTGGCTCCTGGGCAGCATCTCTTGCATGTCTGTGATCTGTACTGTAACCAGGTTCCTTGGGGCTGCACACACACTGTCCCCAGGAAAGTGGGGCAGTGGGGCTGGAAGAGGGGGAGAAAGTCTGATCTCAAGTCCTGACAGCTGGCTGGAGCTGGAGGCTCTTCCATCAGATGTCAAACTTAGCCCAGGATGGGGTGGCTCCCTCAGGTTAGCATCCTAGTTGTCCAGGCCTCACTGGTCACCTCGACCCTCGCTGTCCTTCCTTCAGAGCCGGGGCAGCCAGGCGAGAAAGCAGAAGAGGCCGTCCACCGTGCCCAGGTAGCCAGAGCCTGCTACTTGGTGTCAGGGACTGAGGAGCCAGGCACAGGATGGCGGCTGGTGGCGCTGCAGTTGGGGCCACGGCGGCTGCTGCTGCTGCTGTCTGCTCAAAGCCCCACATATGGGCTGCGGGGCCTGGCCACCCACACTCTGCATGCCCTCACCCCGCTCCTCTGACCACTGGACTCGAGCGTCAGACACAGACAAGGACGGGGGCTATTAGCGTCTCTCTGTTTATTCGCTCACAATAATACACAGCCCCTGGAAGGGGAGGGGGCAGGAGGGGCTATGACAGGATGGGGTGGGAGGGGAGGAGGCACCCACTTCCCTGGCCCCTCTCCCCTCTGTGCTTCGGGGGAAAAGGGAGGGAGGGGGCTCCCCCTTACCCCCCCCAGAATGTAAACAGCAGCAGATGAACAAAAATAAAAATACAAAAGGCCGGAGGAAGTTCCTGGGCATCCCCCCACCCCAGGGTCTTCCCTGTCACCAGAAGAGGTCCCTCGCTGCCCCATCCACCAAAGCTGCCTCAGTCCTGGGGGCTGCCCAGTGCCGGCCACATCCCCGGGGGGCAGAGTCCAGGGCTCAGAACTGCTGGGCCAGCAGCTCACACAGGTGACGGGAGACAGGCTCCTTGCTGGTGCGCAGGGTCAGCCGGTACATCTAGGGGGACAGGGCAACTCAGGGAGGAGGCAGAGGGGATGGAGAGTGTGGGGGAGGGGGGTTGATACAGGGCAGATAAATGATGAAAGGATCAAGGGGTCAGAAAGGTGATATAAGAGGGAAAGGATGAAAGGTAACAGAGGTCACAAAGGGTGTAAAGGATATAGAGAGACAAAAAGCGGGGAGGAAAAGGGAGCGGAAGACAGCAGAGCAGAGAATGCACGCAGAGCAGGCGGCCTTGGGAACCACCACTCACCTGAGCCTGGGCGTTGGGCTCCAGCCGGAGCAGACAGCCCACCTGCAGGGCTTTAGTCTGGATGATTCCAGCCCCCACGAAGTTCTCAGGGTTGGGGTCCACATTGTCCAGGAGAGCAGAGCCAAACCCCAGGAGCTAAGGGGGACAGGGGGTGCCCGATCTCTTTTAGCTCCCAGACAGCAACATTCCAGTTACCCCAAACCCTTGGGAGTGGAAATTAGTCCCACTTCACTGATGGGAAAACCGGTTCAAGTAGAGCAGCCACCGCACCCCAAATCCCAGAGTTTGGGAGACGAGAGGCAGGACTGGGATGGTAGCCCCCGTGCCTCTCCTGTCTAGCCTCTCACCTTGGCCTTAGTGACCTCCGCGTCCATGGGGTGGTTGGCTTTGAAGATTTTCTGGGCCTCCTGTTGGGGGCTAGAGGCGGGAAAAGGTCCAGGTCAGGGCTCTGGAAGCCCCAGTCCCGCCCACCCTGAGGGCGGCTTTGGCTCCCCTCCCACGCGGCTCACAGGCTTAGCTGCTTCCAACGCTGGAAGAAGTCCTGGGCCGCCATCTCTGTCGGCTGGAAGAACTTGTTGATGGTCACTGGGAGCTTCAGGGTGAGGGACTGGGGGGCGCCCCCGTACCTGTTGGTAGAGCGGCCTCATCAGGCCCCGCCCCCGTCCTCGAGGCCCCGCCCACCCGGCAGCGCCCCGCCTCCTGACTTACCGGAAGCGCACCGACAGGAGTGGCGGCGTCAAGAAGTCCCGCAGACACTCAATGTTGAGCACCTGCTGCACCTGCGCCCCGCCGTCCACCTGCGAGGCCACCCGCTTGGTCTGCACGGCCAGCTGTGCCCACCCGTGGTCAAGGAAGCCAGAAATGCGAGCGGGGGAGTGGGGAGGGATGGAAGGGCGCCGAGGAGGGCAAAGGGACTTCACCATCATCACCTGATGGTTCAGAACTTCCCTGGCGGCTCCAGCCTGCAGGTCTCTGAGGGGCCCAGCCCTGCCGTCCCGGGCTCATCCAACATGACCCAGCTCCAAAGTCCTTCCTAATGCAAACCTCTGACCTGGGTGCCTCTGGCTTTCCACAGCGGGCTCAGCCACCTCCATTATGGCACAGGTCACACCCTGGCTCTGACGGCTGACCTGGGTTTGAATCCCAGCTCTTCTTAGAGGTTAAGACGTCACTTAACCTCTCAGCCTCATCGTCGAAATGGATGTAAGTGTCCTCAGCAGTCAATGAAATAATCTCCCACAAGTACTTGTCAGTGTGTCTGGCACATGGTAAGTTCACTGAAATGGTGGCAATGAGTATTACCACCATCTACCTTTGTGTCAACAACCCATTGGCAAGTTGGGGTCTTCTGTCTCTCCCCCCGCCCCTGCCCAGCACAAAGCTGAGCCTCCGGGAGGTCTCTGGAAATGTTGAGTGAAACAAAGCTAAAAGGGTCTTCAAGTTTTGGGGTATAATCACTCTAATTTTCAAGTTGTGGAAACTGAGGCCCAGAGAAGGGGGGACAGGGGACTGACACTGCTCAAGCAGTTCCTTCATGCCAGCCACCCTTCCAGGGTCTTCCAGCCACACTGATCTTCAAAACAAGACTGAGAAGGAAGAGGAGGATCCACACTTCACCGAAGGGAGTGCAGGGCTCGGAGAGGCCAAGTGACTGGCCGAGGCACTGGAATCATAGGTGTGGAGCCTGATGGAAAAAAAGGTTAGGACACAGCGAGGGGCCTGACAGGGACAAACTGATGCCCAGACCATGTGGGATTCAGGAAATAACACCTCCTGCATCCCTGTCATGTCATGTCACTGTCCTCTCCTGTCCTGGGAAAGAGGCTCACTCCCTCTTACAGATGATGCTAAATCTCAGAGAAGTACCATGGGCTCAGGCTCTCAAGTAAGGGGGCCAAAGAGGGATCTGGATCTGTTTCCCGGCTGCCAGGAAGGCAGACCTGGAGGAGCAGGGCTGGGCCAGGCCGAGAGGATATGAGTCTGGAGGTCTCCGGGGTGGACCACAGTGGGAGAGAAGTTCTGGAACTGCACCGAGGTCTTGTTGCCATAAAAGAGATACATGCGACCTGTGGGAGCAAGGGTGAGAGGCAGAGCTCCATCTGAGTTCCTTCCATGTCCTCTCCAAGTCGGGGTCTCCCGGAAACCTCACCCCAGTGCCCTCTTGACCCACCCAAGTTCTGCCGGAACTCTGACTTGACTCCAATCTGCAGCAGCTGGTTCTCAAACAGCACCCCGTTGTTCCTGCACACAAACCTGCGTGGGGCAGTGGGGGGTCAGTACGACGGTGCCTGCCTGGGCTCTGCTCTGTGCTCCCCACTCGTCCCTACTTCCCTCCCCAACCTCACCCACAACTCACTTATTCAGCAGCTCATCGGCTTCTGGGATGGGCGGGCCAATGTCCTCAGGACCTGCGCTGCAGGTGGGAAAGAAGGGAGATGGGAGGGAGCTTGGGGAACTAGAGGTCAAGGCCCAGAGCTAGTGGTGGGAGACAGCAAGCCCTGAAGGAACAGAAGCCCAGAATCCACATACCTGGATTCCCCACAGAGCCCCTCAATCAGACTGGCAATTGCCTCTGATGGGAAGAGGACCCTGGCAGGAGCCATCACCCCCCTACCCTGTACCAGACGGCCCTGATTCTCACTCCCAAGCCCTCGCAGCTCATCAGGAGAGCTTGCTGAGAGCTCCCAGTCCCCTAACCCTCCCGGGGGGATACAACAGTCTGCCCCCCAACCCCCTGAGGCCACCCCTTACTCAGCAGCTGGAGCTGGATCAGCCAGCAAAGCCATGGGGCTCTCAGGGGCAGGCGGCTCCAGCTCGCTGGGCCATCCAATCCCAGAGCAGACAAGAGAAGACAGGCGTGGCAGGCAGCCAATCCCAGAGAGGCAGCAAGAGGGCGGAGAGAGAAAGAGAGAGACGGGAGGAGAGGAGAAGGAAGAGCAGGCTGAGACGGTGACAGGGAAGGACAACACAGGGTGGCCAGGGTCAGCGAGAGCCCAGAGAGGCCCAGAGGGAGGGGGGGGGAGACCGGGGCAGGCAGCAGCCAGGGAAGACACGAGGCTCAAGGAGAGGGGAGTTGGGGTGGGGGTGGGGGGGCAGATGAAAAGGGGGCCGCCCTGGGCCTAAGGCCGGTACCTGAGGAAGGCCTCCTCGGGGCTGGGCCCCAGGCCGGGCTGGGCGGCCGGGCTGTCGGAGAAGACGTCCACGAGGAGGTTGCCTGCACCCGAGGGGGCCGGGGGGGCCGCGGGGGGAGGGGCTGCCCGCAGCCCCAGGAGGTCGGCGGAGGGCGAGGGTGTGGACTGCGGGCAATGTGGAGGCAGGTGAGAAGGGGCTGGCCTGGTCGGGCCCAGCCGCCCCGCCCCCGGCCCAGCCCCCCGGGACTCACCACGGTGCTGGGGGTGGGCTCCACACCCCCATTGATGTCGTGGCTGCTGGGGTCCCTCCGGCTGTCGTCCAGGGCGCTGCCGGCCCCCGGCCCCTTCTTGCGCTTCAGCTTGGCCAGGATGGATGACTCGCGCTCGGGGAAGGGTGGCATCTCCTCCAGCACCGTGGCCTGCAGGGTTCGGTCAGGGATGGGCGTCAGCACCGGTCTCCAGCGGGAGTGGGGGCAAGGCGCAGGGGCAGGGCACGTGGGGACTGGGCTCTGACCAGGACGTCCGTGCTGGCCACCGAGCTGAGGGTGAGGTACTCGACGGCCCGCTGCTGGAGCTCCACGTCGGCGTTGCGCAGCTGGGAGCCGGCCCGCAGCACGCCCTGGATGGTGGCCTTGGTCTCCGGGAAAAGGTTGATGAACTTGATGTAGGTGGAGAGCAGCAGGGCCCGCGTGGCCACGCTGCACAGGTGGAACTTGGAGTGCAGCAGGGAGAACTGCACCGGGGGGCTGCAGAGAGTGGGCAGATGTCGGTGGGCGGCCAGCTGCACCACCCTCTCCCAGCAGCCCCTGTGGGAGGTGCCGCTTCCCTCAGAGGGACCCTTCCCAGGACCCCAGCTCAGGGTCCTTCAGGCCCTGGAGCCCCAAACCCCTCACCTGGAGCGGGGGTCCCCAGCAATCAGGTTCCCGAACTCCCCAAGGATATAGCCGCCAACCTTCACCATGTTCTCGTGGCAGGCGGGTGCCTGGAGTGCCTGTGGGCGGGGACAGCGGTGAGCAGCAGCATCCTGGCTCAGGAGCGCTCAGCATGTACCCGGCACTCCACTGAGCCCTTGACTCCTATTAACTGCAGAAGCCTGGTGACTGCTGTGGGTGGGTTTACATCTGGGGAAACTGAGGCACAGAGCAGTTAAGTGACCGAACTGAGCTGGGAATAAAACAGAGCTGAATGGGAACTCTTGTCTGGAGTGGAAAGAGCGGGAAACTGGCAGAACTCAGGGACCAGTGACTACACACCGGGCATCCTGTGCCCTGCTGACCCTCACATTGGCCCGTGGTGGCCCGGCCCTTCTGAGGATGAGGCCTGGGCCAGCTGGCCCCACAGCCCCAGCTGTCCTGGCTCTGCCCTGATGCCCCATCGTGGGGTGAGATGGGGGCGC